CTACTGCTACTGCGACTGCTAGTGCTACTGCTACTGCTACCGCCACTACTACTGCTACTAGTCCCAGCTACTACTACGACCACTGCTACTACGACGACGGCGACGACTGTGCTGCTACTTCTCCTTCTTCCTCTTTCGCTTCTGCTGCCGTTAATGCTGCTGGCGTTGCTGGTGCTGCGACTGCTGCTCCAACATTGGATCCATCTAACATGCCGATGTGGAAAGCGTATGTTTGAACGAGATCCCCAAACCGCTGACATGTTGTCGGCGAACCAGCACTACTTGGGGAACGAGAACAGGGGCGCAGTGCTATTTGCCGACCATTCCGGTACAACGCAACAAAATTCGCACCTGCACGGCTGAAAATGAAGTTAATGTTGTGACATGTTAGGTAATGCTATGCTATGGCTGCTATGCCATGTCATGATACGTCTTGCTATGTTATGTTCGATCAAGGTGTGTTGTCTGCGTTAAGAGAGAGAGAGAGAGAGAGAGAGAGATATATATATATATATATGATATGCTATGCTGAATTAAACTACGTCATGTCGCGTTTTTTACGTTGTGGTACAGTACGCCGTCTGATGTGCCAGGGGATGTCATCCGATAAGATACGGCGTTGCGTAATGCGCTGCTGGGTGATGAGATGTTCAGTACAATCTGTCATTGGTCTACTATGCCCTGCTATGTGATGTTGTACTGTGGTGTGATGTGTGATGCTAATGCCATGCTGTTTGTGTTGGGTATGTTACGCAATGGCTTCTTATCTTCGGGCATGTATGCATGCATGCACTTAAATCTTGCATGCACGTATGTATCATGTACGTATGTATGTCTGTCTGTCTGTCTCAATGTACGTAGGTAAGACAATACATGTGCATGTTTGTACCCTTGTACCTAACCATTCGTGCATGTATGTGTCTATTTATGTGCATCTAGATGTGACGCTGGATGAAGTGTCACACAAGAGCATGTCAACGGAGGCGATTTTTATCGAGATGTCTCCGCATGTCTGTTCATACAAATAGACCTACACCTGAAAAAATGCAATGTATGCATATGCATGTGAACTTTTTCTGCCAGTTTTGGGACAATGCATGTTTTGCATGTTTGCAGCTTGCTTCAAACATAGATGTTGCATGTGCAGGCATGCTTACATCCAGGACACTAGAGACTTGCATACCTTTGCTTGACGAGAGAAACATGTGTGTTCCTACGAACGAGTACATACACGAACATGTCAAACTAAACGAGAAAGAGAGACAGAGAGAGACCTTTCTGTATCGATGGATAGATGAGTGGACAGAAGGGTTGGGCAACAAACTAGCTGCACACGTAGATACATGATGCACTTGTACGTGTATGCATGCAGACCTCTAGTTACCCAGGACACTTGGATCTAGACTTGCACTGGACATTCTGTTGAGTTCTACCTCGGAACTACGATCTCGCGAATCTGCAGGACTCTCGGGGGCCCCGAACTTCGAGACTGCATGGATATGTGTATGCGTGTGTGTGTGTGTATGTATACATGCATAGTCGCGTTGTATTGCATTGCGCCATGTCCGAGCACGGTACATCATACCGCAATACATCGAAATGCAGTACACTGTATATTACACTATACAATAGCTTACATTAGATTACAGTAGCTTAACAACCGGTTACACTGGGTTACACTAGGCTACATTAGACTACAGTAGAAGTATATGTTAGGGTACGCTAGGTTACATGAGAACACATTCGATTATATTACAGTACGGCAAAGTACATTAAATAACATTCAAAAACGTTAGAGTGCCTTACACAACGTTAGATTACATGTTTCGCACCTTAGATTACACCACGGTACATTAGATTCCCGTTTCTTGCGTTGCATTACATACCATCGTATTCATTTTTACTGCATGATACTATACGACAGCCCAATACATGATAATACATTATACTACGTTGCAGTACACCATGCCACATCATGTGGCATCAGTCTACGTTATTTTGCAGGATATATCATAGTATGTTGCGGCTTTGGCTAAATAGCCCTATATTATATTGCAATATATCGCTTCATATTGCGACATATGTGCAGTGCCGCGACTCGCATGATGCTACGTCACAAAACATCTCACTATATTTCACTGCACTACGCCAGCTTGCACTACACTACACTACACTATACGACACTACACGACACTACACTCGAGTGCATTACAACACCATACACTTTACCGGATGATAAACTAACCTGCATTGCATAATGCTGAAACATGCTATATTGTGCCATCCATGTTATCTACCATACATGTGCTACACCGCAAACCATGTGCGTGTGCTGCTAATGCAATTAAGGTATAATATAACTACCAATACCTTTTTGGGGGTTCCTTACTATTATAAGTATAGTATTATGGGCCCCAAAACCCTACTCTAATTATTAAGGCCTCTACATCATCGAACCCTCATAGTAACCGTTATAGAACCCATTAAGAGGATCCCTTTAAAAGGGCCAAAAGAACCCTAAACCCTAAACCCTAAACTCCTTGTCACACTGCGTCGAAGCGCTGCCGGCCTTCGCTTCGTCAGTCGTCGCATCTTCAGTGACGAACTTCACCGCTTTCACCTGGTTACCGGGTTTAGGGTTTAGGGTTTAGGGGTTTAGGGGTTTAGGGTTTAGTGGTTTGGGGTTTAAGGTTTGGTCCGGTCAGGACTGAGGAATAAGAGATTAGGGTCGAGGGCTTTGGGATTCTTCGACTCAGGTGGCGAAGCTGACGCCGTGACGAGAAATGACGAGTTAAGGGGTTTAGGGTTTGGGGTTTAGGGTGGGGTCCAGGGCAGTTTAGGGGTTCAGCGGTGCATCAGGCCCTACACGGCCGAACCACATTCACAAGCATCAAGGAGGACAACAGTCAAAGCACGACCACCAGAGTAATCAGTTAGTTAAACCTTAGTAACCATGAGACTGGGAAGACCACGCGCATCCGAATCAGTACACAGACAGGTTCACAGATGTCTGGATCACAGTGCTCATCACAGCAATGAGTAGCCATTCTTTTGCCTGTGGGTGCTTTTCTGGTGCGGGGAGCTGTTCATTTAGCTGCTGGTGCAGGGGCACATTTGTTTTTGCTGCGGGTGCGGTCGCCTCCTTTTTCGGTGCAGGTGCGGGGCGCGCTTCTTGTTGTTGCTGTGGGTGCAGGATGTTTGTTTGCTTGGGGTTTCGCGATGCGGCCGCAAAAAGGCATCCTATGCACCCTAAAAAAACGCAAAAAAAGTGCCCCGCACCCGCAGCCAGTAACAACACGCGCCCCCGGCACCCGCAGCAAAAAAGCACCCACAAAAACATATAAAAGAAACACGAGTCCGCAAGAGAACTCAGACGACATGTCAATTCTGATAATTCTCATTATTCTCGTCACACCAAAGTACCATGAAAGGCTACAGAGCTACTGCAGGTACCATGTCCAGCGTAGTTCAAACATTCACCATGTCCGGGCATGACTATGCTCGCCAGTATCGCAAATATCACCATGTGTAGATCCCATATTCTTGACGGCATGCACACTGACCAGTATCACCTCTAACTCACGACATGAGCAGTTGCATAAAGAACATCTGTGGCATCTTGTTCAGCTCCAGACCCTCATTCCAGTCAACACAACGGTTTAGGGTTTAGGGTTTAGGGTTTAGGGTTTAGGGTTTACCATAAAGATCACAAGGTTCAAGACACTCGGAAGCAGTTCTGGCTACGGGAAAGGGGGAGGAATCGGATGAGAACAAAGAAAAAGATTATCAAAAGCATTGGCAACCGGAACAACAGTGAGTGATAATAAGACACATATTCACATCAGTTCGTATAGTCCTGAGGCCCACACCGCTGGGCATGCGGCAACAAATCTCATAATAACAAGAAACCATCTCAGGTGCTCTTTGTTGAGCACGGGCAGCATGGGCTTGCATGAGGCGTGCAGGCCGTTGGCTGTGAAAGACGACGCTGGAAAGGTCACTCACGAGCAGACGCTCCAAACCTCCAACCATAACCCCAAAGCCTCGTGTGCGAAACCAAACCCTGAACCTCAAACCCAAGACCAAACGCAAATACCTGACACAATCAGCTGCAAACACTAAACCACAAGCCTGCTAAACCCCTGGAGAACCCGGTTTCTCTAGAGCCCTACCCTTGCAGAACCTGTCCAGAACCCTCACGAAACTCTTATCAACCCTACAGAACCCTACAATTCCCTAAACCCTAAACCCTAAACCGCAAACCCTAAACCCGAAACCCTAAACCCTAATAAGATCCCATCGAAAGAGCTCCGCACCCGAGACTCCTAGACCCTTATGGTAACCGCTACAATAACCCTCAGAGAAACATGTGTAGCAACCCTCCTACGAGCCCTTACAAACTTTTCATAAAACCTCCCAAAATTCTATAAAACTTACAAAATTTCATAAAACCTCACAAAAGTCTAAAACCCTTTTAAAGCCCTGTAGGCCCAGAACAAGAACCCTATTGAAGAACACGAACCCCCAACTCGACCCGTTCATGATCGCGGACGAAGCCACCAAGGCTTGATCTCGCGTTTCCGCAAGCTCCCAGCCCTGGAAGCGGGTCAAAGCTGAAGGGTTTGGGGATTATCGGGCTCGGGCTCGGGGTTTAGGGGAATATTAGGGCTCGGGGTTTAGGGATGCGGGCTCAGGGTTTAGTGCTTAGGGCTCAAGGTTTAGGGTTTAGGGCTTAGGGTTTGGGGATTATAGGGCTCGGGGTTTAGGGTTTTGGGCTTAGGGTTTAGGGATTCAGGCTCGGGGTCTTGGGTCTAGGATTTTGGGTTAGGGGGATTTTGGTTCGGCTTGAGGGCTTGGGCTTCAGGATTTGCGGTCAGTGCTTCAGTGCTGAGGTTTGAGGCTGTCGGGTGTAGGCTTTCGGTCTTTGCAGCGTGAGCTTCAAAGCTCCGGGCCTCAAAGTAGTGATTAGTACTGCTGCTGTTAGCTGTTTTGCTATCATTATCATTGCTATTATTGTGGGTATAGAACTACAGTATTTCATGACACAGTTCTTGGTGAGCGCTGAAAACCGACATCGGCTGAGGCGGTTGAGGGTCTAGGGTGTAGTGTAGGGTTCCATCATGTCCGAAGAAGGCCCATGGCCTGTTCCGGTTTCGGGATGAGGGTTTTTTTTTTTAAGGGCCTTTTCTGTCACTTGCGCTTCAGAGCCCGTGTTGGGCAGGCAGTGTATCCCATACCGCGTTTGCCCTCAGTAGTCGCCCCTCCTGTCCAAGTCCCGCTCACCCTCATCTGCGTTGCCATGTCTGCTTTCCAAACCCCGGTCCACTCCCTGCATCTCTGCACCCTGGTTGCCACATCCATGGTCTACGCCATCAGCATGTACCTGCCCAGATTGGTCTTCCTCAACGTCCAGCGCGTCAATCTGCGTTGTCGTAGGTCCAGCTGTCCCTGCCTCCAATGGTCCACCAGTCTCCTGGTTCTGCTGCGCCTCACGTTCGAGCTGAAAGAGGACCGCCCACTCCGGCCCAAACACATTCTCCACACCGAGGTTGCTGATCTGACCCCGTTGCCAGGCCTGGTAGACCCGCCCAAACAGGTCCGGATCTGTCCACTTCAGCCGCCGTGTGCCCTGGGTCCCTGGTCTCGACGTCGGCCTCCATGCTCGGTTGTCCGCTGCCGCAACTCCGCGCCGTGCCCTCCACATCCCCCAAGACCATGTGGCGGCGCAAGGAGGCCCGCCACTCTTCAAGTTCTTCCTCCGAGGGGCTGTTGTGGTTTTCCATCAGCCGATTCTCCTGGTCATCCGCCACAACCGCAACCAAGGCCGCATAGAGCTGGGTGCCGCGGTCGCCTTGAAGAAAGAGGCTCTGGGAGATGCGTTGCTTTAGCGCATGGAGCAGCGGGAGGTTGCGAGGCCCCCCTTCGTCCGCCATCCTCACGAGGTCCTGCAGCAAACTCTCCCATGTCCCTGTGGTCTTTGCAGTCATCCCAGTCTGCATGTAGATGCTTTCTTCCTCTTCCTCCGGCACAACCTCTACCATCTCCGAGCCAGCATCGTGGTCCATTCGGGCTCGAGCATCTTGCACCTGTATGAAGATGTGCGCCACCTCTATGAACAGCATTCCCCACAGTCGTAAAAGAGCCCGGTTCATCATCTGGAGGTTCCGGTCCGATAGCTCCTGAAGCTGCTGTCTCGCCCGAGTCTGCGCCGCCTTAGTGAGGGCACGGGACGGCTCGGGGTTGTCTCTCGAGGGTCGCAGCCCGAAGAGGACCAGCCAGACATTGGTCGCCTGCACCAGGTCCATGGGCTCCTCCAGGTTCGCCGCATCGTAGGTCGGGTGCGGCAAGGTCCAGTTGAGCGTCGCATTGTGTCCTGTATCCGTGCTCGCCGTGGCACCACCGTGGTATGACCCTCCTGTTCTAGGTGTCAGGTACCGAGTTTCATAAGTCACCCTTGGTCTCGTGGAGCAGGTGGGCCTTCCAGTGGCGGGCCCTCCTCTCGGTGGGGTCCGTTCCCGCCGCCGTGGGTTGTCTCGTCTGTTGCGTCTGCGTCTCCTCCTGCTGGTAGTCCCGGTGGTAGTCCTCGTGTTCCTGTGCATCAGGGACGTAGCATCTGGTAGGTCTCCTTCGTCCTCCACCTCCGCTGGCAGAGAGGGACCACTCGGCACGCTCCCGGCCGAACGTGGCTGTCTGTGGGGACTCCGGCTTCGGGGTCTGGCTGAGTTTTGCCGGTTCGACCATTGTCGCCACTGCTCTCGATTCTGAGTTGGCACGTTTGGTTGTCCTCGGAGATTCACAACCTCATCCGTCTCCGCTCCAGCCCCTGCCTCTCTCATGTCCACAAACTCCTCCCAGATCTCCGCCTCGATCCATTCCAGCACTGGCGGCACAGCCGGAAGGCATCTGGGGTCAAGGTCCACATCCACCGGTAGGTCCAGGTCCGCGGCATAGTTGGGGAAGGCCTCGAGGTACGTTTGGCGGCCCCTTCTCTGAAAGAGCATGTACATCACGCTGCTTTGTTGCCGCAAGGTCCAGCCTTCCCTTCGCAGGCGCCCAAGTTGGTCCCGGAGCATGAGCATAATCGGCGGGAGGTCCATGGCCGCCACCCTTGTGGCATCCATTGAAGTAGCGAGCATCAGTAGTCCTGGGAGCATAATGAGGCCGTGCTCCTCAGTTTCTTGTTCATGAGGCACCGGTGGTTGCTGACTCCTTTGGGCCTCTCCCGAGTCCTCGCTTTCGCAAGGTCGACCATCCGGGCCAGCATGAATCGCCTCGTCCTCCAAGGGGTCCTCCAACCACTCCGGTCGTTCACTCTCCTCCACATGTATCTCTGCCATGGCTGTTCGTGCATCTTCTAGTCGCGGTGGTCGGGCAGCATCTCTCGGAGCATTTCGCCACCAGGTAGTGAGCGTTTTGGCCGCCGTGGGTCCATGATTTGCGCAGATGGTGGCCTCTCCGCCGCCAATAGTCTGTCAGCGAGATGCCCGCGTCAGCCAGCAAGCCAGGTGCCGGTAAAAAAAACGCAATGCCTGTTGGCTGCTCCTGCTGCGTTGCAACAGGGGTGGTATCGTCACTATCCTCACTAGCCTCCTGCAGGCATGCGGTGAGCGTCAGCTGGGCTCGACCTTCAGCGATAGGCAACCTCATGGTCCTGGTAGTTCGTGGTGCATCTGCAGACCCAGAGCTCAGTTCAACCTGAAGGAAGTGTCGCTTGCTCCCTCGCGTCTCTGGTGCGGCTACCCCCGTAGCTTCTTCCGCCGGCGACGTATCCGGAGTGTTGGTAGGCGGGGGCCGGCTGAAGTGCATAATAGGAGGCATGCTGCTTCGACATGGTCTGCCTGCAGCGCGCCTGGAGCCCGGGTGCATAGGAAGGAAACGCTCCGCTTCAGCCCACAGCCCTTCCACAATTGACGGCACCACCTCAGCGGTGTCCGGGCAATCCGCGTGTGCACAGGCGAGTAAGGCCAACATCTCTGCTGTGCGTCCTCGCGAGTGGCCCAACCAGTAGCCATCTTTGTCGTTGTTGCAATGCCATTCAAGCCTGGCAAGTAGAGCTTGTGCAAGGGCCGCTCGCTTACTCTTCTGCACCTTTTCAAGTTCTTCCCTGAGTGCGGCCAAGTAGGCAAACCAGGCTGCTTCCATATGCGCAGTCGCCGTCTGCATAAGGAAAGTGGTGTCTTCATCTGCCCCTTGGAGCTCAGCCTGGAAGGTCCAGGCAACACCGTCATACCCCGGCGGGACTTCACTCTTGTAGGCATCTGCAGCGAGGGCAAGGTGGCAAGGGACACACACTCGAAGTGGGTGGGAGGCCACTGGCCCCACGGGCGCGCCCGCGGAGAAATCATTCCTGGACAAAGCTTCGTCCAAGGGCCTGTGAGGAAGCAGCGTCTCGTGTTCCACTGGTAGTCGACGTAGCCGGGAAACAAGTAAGTGAGGTCCACGAGGGGGTTCTGGTCCCGCCGATCTCGCTGAAGAAGTGCTGGTTCGCTGTCAGGTGCAACGCAGGGGGCATCAGAATCTCGCGGTGTCAGGGTTCGCAATTGAGGAAGTTCATGGGAGGGCAAAGTCCGTCGCTGACCAGGGGCCAGAGGCGCCGAGGTCGCCGTCAAGGCATTGCAGGACTCAGACTGATTCAGGCTTGTGGCGTAAGCGCCAAACTTTGCTTTGCGTAGATATGGAGGGCCGTCGGTCCCTAAGAGAGAGACGGCAAGGATATGGAAGACGAGCGGCACGGAGGGCCACCACATCGCGCTGGGGAACACCAGGGCTTTGAACCAAAGCATGGCTGCCCAGTACTCAGGCTTTCGGCCTTCATCCACTAGGTGCCGCAGCTGAACCCTACAGCAGACCACATCCACGTAGAAAAGAAGGGACCCTGCATGTCTCCAAAACCCTGTTGATCCTAGATGACATGTAGTGCATGACGAGGTCGAAGTTAGGCATCACGTATACTGAGTTGGCGGTGGCTCGCCCACGGGAGGTCTCTCTGTGCAATCCAAGCCGTCATGAGCTGCCGCCAAACCCCCCTGTCGTATGTTCGCTCTCTCCAGGGTCCCCCCGCCGCATTGTCCATGTCCCGCTCCATATTCATGAGCTTGGGGTAAATGTGCCCCGGGTGTTTGATCCCTGTGTGTGGGTGTTGTTGCTGCTCCAGCCACCAGACACGTGTCCGGTACTCGTCCACCACGGTGGCCGCATTCAACCCTTCATGCATGTTGAGTCTCGTACGGTGTCCCGCATATGTTCACCATCGTTCCAGCCATAAAGTGGACCACCTCTTTCGGGAGTATTGGTGTACCACAGCCCTAGCGCCCTGTACGATCTCTCACGATACTGAAGCCATGTTTCGTGAGGTGCTTTGGCCACTCTCATGATCCAGATGCACATTTGCAGTTGCAGACCATTGATAAGTCCCAGGCTGGCATGGTCCATCGGCAGAGCCGCCAGGGGCCAGAGGACCGTTCCTCCCAGCACACGCTCCATGAGTTGGACCCTGCCCCGGAGGGGTGTCTTGGCTCGGAGCAGGTGTCTGAGTCCACCCCAAAATTTTGCTCTGGCTTTGGCAAGGAGCGGGGCGATCATCTCCGATGGAGTAGACCCAACCCTGAAGGTAAGACCCAGGATATGCAATTCCTCCGCGGCGTAGAGTAGCTCTCCCTGAACCCTGATCGTCCGCTTGCCCGAATGGAATGGTGAGCAGTACAGTTGGCATTTCTTAGCATTGATCTTTAGGCCAAACTCCTGTAGAACGACCCCCCATTGCGCCACTCGTTTCTCAATCTCGGACACACCCTGACCCCATTGCAGTCCGTCGTCCATGTACAAGAGGTTGTCGAGCTGGAGCCCTGGGAAGGTGCGTGGCTGTTTTGGCCAATCAAATCTTTGGGAGGCTTCGTGAAGGCATGTCTCTGCCAGGAAACTGAAAAAGGAAGGTGATTCGATGGCTCCTTGTTTTATTCCGTCATGCATTTGTATGACGGTAGTGTCCCAGGCAGTCTGTAAGACTGCATCTGTATGCCGTAGTAGGTTGTACCAGCAAAGGTATTCAGGACACATTCCCATACGTTGCAATAATCGGTCTGCCAGAGTCCTTCGATCCACCCGGTCGAAGGCCTTAGCCAAGTCGACCTTTAGCCAGCAGGCTCCCCTTTTCCATTCTTTTTCTAACTGCATGAGGCGAGTCACCACAAAAAGGAAATCACAGACCTGCTTGCCTTTCCCACTGCACTGTTCCGGCCCTTGCAGACGGATCTTGGGCTCCGAGCGTGCCAGCAACATCCGTGTAAACACCTTTGCCGCGGCGCTGCCCATCGAAAGCGGGCGGAGGTCTCCTGGAGTGGAGGGAAAGGAAGTCTTGGGGATGACAACCATGACCGCCCGATTCCAGTCGGGGGGAATCTCTCCCGTGCAGAGAATCGTATTGTAGAAGTGCAACAAATGACCCTTGCCCCCTTCTGTCGCACAGATCCCTTGAAGTAGTTCATGGCTCGTCAAGTCAGCTCCTACCGCTTTCCCTTTGTGTCCAGCCGCCATAGCTGCTTGAAGTTCCTCCTCCGAGAAAGCTTGAACATCCCCGGTCCATGCAGGTAGTTCCGGCAGTTGCCGGCCCGTCTGGTAGATGTCCGCAAGGTGCTCGTGTATGCTCGCATGTGCCCGACCCTCGCCCTGACACTCCGCGAAATGAGTATCCCACCCGGTGTTCTTGGTTGACCGAAGTTTCCTGACCTCCTCCCAGTCTCCCTCCATAGCCTCCTTGATTCGCTTGGTCTCCCTTTTCTTATGCACCTCTTTCCATGCCGCGGGTGTCATACTACACCTTGCTCTCCTTGCCGCTTCTCTAACATCCTGCGGATCCTTATACCCCTTGCCTGGCTTCGGCTTGGTACACTGCGCCGCCAGCTGTACCAAGGTGTCTTGGTCAATACGGTGTATGATCTCAGGTCCTCCCGTCCACACCCTGGGCCTAGTGTTATACACCCTGCGACGTCTACCGCTGCTGATCTGTATCTGGCACTGAAGCAGGTCATGATCTGTCCCCAAAGCCCTGGATGTGTCCACACAGATCTCCAATGTAGGTGCCACACAACCCTTGAAGCTGATACAATCGATTTGGCGACCTTCACGACCCACCTGCCTTGGTCTACTCGTCGGTGTGTTGAAGTCCTGTGGCCTCGGAGCTGCAAGCTGGAAGCCGTGCCTCTCTATGGTCTCCAGGAAACCCACAGTTTTCCCATCCCTGTCATAGGGTTGAGGAGTTCCATCCGCTGCTGTTTCCCACTTGATGGGAGCATTGATGTCACAAGAGAAAATGGTGGGTAGGGCGGTAGGCTTCAGCTGTTCCATATGTTGCTCCACTGAGGCGCGGTGCACTGCTTGCGTGCAGCAAGGGTCAAAGTGTGCCGTGCCTACCCAAGCTTCCGCGCCGAGGGCAAAGTGTCTGATTCTGAACCAGCAGCCCCTGTCGGTTGAGATGCGTCTGACGATTTTCCAACTGGTCTCCTTAAAGAGAATCCCCGCACCGCGCCACCGCCCATCGGGGCGGAAGCTCAGCATGGTCCAGCCTCCTGCACAGTCCGTGTGCCACCCGACATCATGTCTAGGCACTTCTTGCAAAAGGTGAATTGTGGCATCGGATTCCGACCTGCCAAGATCTCTCAGAGCCTGTGGGACCGCCGCTTCATCCACTCCCCCTATGTTCCATCCGCGGACTGGGAAGGTCCACAGCTGAGCCTGAGACGGAGGAAGATGCAGCTCTATCTGTTCAGCGTCTGACAGCGTCGATGGTCCTCAAGCAGCTTCCAGATGTCCTTAGTTTGCTTCCTGGTTTCTCGGGCCAACCCTTCGATGTCAATCCAGACCTGGTTTCCCTCCACTTCCTCCCGAAACAATTCCGTGGTCGATACTCCTGGTTCCACTGGCCTGGTAGCCGAAGCGATCGTAGTCGCGCCCATCCAGCAGGTGCCCGTGCTGTACTCTATGTCCAGCAGCGATGAGTAGTCCTGCCCCAACTGGGCCACCGCCCTTTTGATCCAACCAGCGTGGCTTGCAATGGACCGTTCCGACCTCGTCTTGGAGTAAGTGGCGAACATCCTCTTACCGTTGGGCACCTGCACTGTGTTCTCTGCCAAGCCCATGATCACCCTGTGCATGCGGCGCCGAACCATGTAGTCTGCTTCGCCGGCTCGAGGTTTGAAGATCGCTAGTGCTGCGCTCCTCCTCGGTCCCGTGCAAAAGGGTTCCGCATCTAGGCTCTCACGAAGTTGGAGCTGGTCGAGGGCTTCTCCTAGCTGTTGCAGGATGATTTGGCGTCTGGTGTCTCTGGCCCACCCCCCGAACACTAGGGTGAAGCGCCTGTCTTGTTCGGCTCCTTTCGGGGGGCCGCCTCCGCGTAGAAGCTGTGTCATCTGTTCCTGCAGCCTGTCGACTTTGTCCTCAACAGCTGCAGCTCTGCGCTCTGCCCCGTCGGCCTTGTACTCAACTTGCGCTATGCGTTCGTTTGTCTTCTGTTCGAAGAGGGACATCATACCATCAAGGTTCTCTTTCTGCGCCTTCAGAATCCGGGTGCTGTGCGCTTCCAGGAGCCTCTCCATCTGTCCCAGGTCCAATGCCGCAACGGTGGGATCTTGTCGTAGCGCCTCTGCCCCTGTTCTGTTCGCAGCCTATTAGCCGAGATGCCATCCTCCACGGCCTGCGGTGCTTCCAAGTCATCATCGTCAGGGACCTTGCTTTCGCGAGCCAACCCCAAGCCGAGCTCCGTGCCCCCTGCTCCACGGCCAAGTTGCACCACCTGCCCCTTGCGGTCCTTAGTCGTCCTGCCCTGCAGCTGCACACCGCTCCAACGGCTCAGAGGAGAACTATGTCGGCGTCCCGAATCGCACCCCGGAGCCCCTTCGGTGGCCTGTGCTCCCGCCGAGCTTCACGCGGTAGTCCCGGCGAAATCCACTCTCGGCCCCGTGAATCAGGCCCCGCACGTTCGCCAAGGCACTGCAACACGGCAACACACACACACACACACACCCACACACACTTCTACGGGGGGCGGAGCGGACACACGACCCCCCAAACCCTTGAGTCTTGAGCTTGAGCCAGGGCTTTTGGGTTTAGGGTTTAGGGTTTAGGGTTTAGAGTGCATTGCAGCACAAAGTTTTACATACGCGCGAACCAGTGCCATCACCCACTGTTCAAAGCAGGCCCTTTGTCGCTCAGCCAAAAGGATCAGGCTACCCAGTAAGTATGCTGATAAGTACCCTTACGCAGGGGCATAGCAAAAGGGCAGAAAATGGGGCATGGGCTTTAAGTCTAATAAACTGAACGACGGGGTTCCCAACACCTTCAATGTTCTTTCCTAAGCCTGAAATGCTTATCCTGTGTGCCAGGAGGCCCACTATTTACGGGTTATCTCCTGGTTATTTTTTCGGCCATCCTAGACAGCACCCATGTACTATTTCAGACTTATTTCACATTTATTTTCCGGGAAATCCCGGAAAAATAATCCTTATTAGGGCTTATTTGTTTGGGGAGGGGGGTTTGAGGGGGGCGGAGTTGACATCTGTGATTAAGGTTTTCCAACCCGTGTAGGTAGTGGCAGACTATCCCGGGTGACCAGGACTTCATAAATCGTCTAGGGTACTTTTTTGAGAGGGGGGTTTCTTATGACAAGGATCCGATTATTTCGGAGGGGGTGTGCTCAAAATCAGGATCCGGATATTTAGGGTTCCATCTAAACCCTAAACCCTAAACCCTTTGAAGCTCCCAGACTGTTCTACTGATTCTTGTGTTCGAAACGTATCGGATGCTCCGAGCCTCATGTGACGCGTCGTCAGTCTTCACCCTGCACCAGAAATACTGTGACACGTCCTGCACAGGCTACGGTTGATGGACAAGATCCTGCATGACCTTATACACCTAAACTATGGGATTTGTGGTGCTATACTATATTTGGGTCATGCAGAATTTTGTCCATCAACGCTATGAAGGCTGGGACAAAGTTCAAGCACGGATGGGCCGTCCTAAAATAATGGGTCAAGCTTTCTTCAATCAGGGATCAACCTGTCACTCACCCTAAACCCTAAACCCTAAACCCTAAACCCTAAACCCTGTTACTCGCCCACATTCACCTAACCACAAACCGTAGAGCCGCAGAAGCCAAAGCCCCAGAAGACTGGCCCGGAATCCAAACTCCGGGAATATGTTTGCAGGGTCTGGGGTCCTCGCCGTCATCATCCTTTAAGGGTTTCTATAACGGTTATTACTATAAGGGTCTGGTTTAGGGGTCTTAATAATAATTGGAATAGTGTTTTGGGGCCTCATCATCATCATCATCACAGGCATCGCTATGTGCATCACAGGGAACGAAGGACAAGCAGATACTGGTAGCGATAAAGTAGGCAAGTCAGACACGGCCATGAAAATTGTCGAGGGAGACTACATGACAAGGTAAACACTATGCGAGTGTTGTATGCAACAACAAGAATGATGATGACGCTGGCTGGCGAGAGCAGCGACGGTAACTGCCGCATCAGCGACAGCAGTGGCAGCAACTCTGGTCATGAAAGCTGAAATGCTTCAAAATTGTACACATGGAAACATCAGCAGTAGTTATCTTTAATTTGTTGCTGCTCCTCCCCCTCCCTCCTCTCCTCCCTCTTCCTTCCTCCCTCCTCCTCCCTCCTCCCTCGTCCTGCTCCTCCTCCTCTTCCTCCCGTTGCTCTTTCCCAACCCCTTTTGCTTCATCTTCATCTTTCTCGTCATCACGGTGATAATGGCGATGGCAACAGCCACTAGAACGATCAGGAGTTGCAAGCCCGCAACCCAAGCACTCGAAAGGAAAACTCGAACCTTTGTCTGAAACCGCTTAGCGAACATGTACACAACACCCCTTGCAAAGCCTTTTACAACCCAGTAAAACCCTTTCAAACCCGCATAAAACCGTGTGCAATCCCTTGCACCTTACAGCAACCCTTGTGAAAGTAACCCTTTTAGGAACCCTGACCCTTTAAAGGAATCCTGAAAGGATGCCTTACAAAAAACTCTCAAGGAACCCTTTAAGGAAACTTCAAACCCAGAGAACCCAATACCCCCTTAATTAAGGAGTATACCTTAAATCATAATATTAAGGCCCCTATAGTTTAAGGTATATTCCCTAAACCCTAAACCCTAAACCCTAAACCCTAAACCCTGAATTAAGGGGTATTGGGTTCTCTGGGAACCACCTAGGAGCCGCGCCTTACAGGCAGTCAGATCGGCTCCACCCACTCTGACTTGAAGGCCTGGAATCGCTGTTGAAGGTTTAGGGTTTAGGGTTTAGGGTTTAGGGTTTAGGGTTTAGGGAGGTTTGAGGTGTAGGGATTTTGAAGGTTCCTTTAAGAGGCTTTACATCCTCATGAGATCATCATCATCACCCAACTTCACCAACACCAGCATAAACAACGCTCGTTCCGTTGCGATCCGGCTTCTGGCCTCATGCTCTTGAACATCAGGCATCCAGAGAATCCAAAGCCCCTGAAAGGACATACCTTAAACCGAAAACCGATCCCTCTCACCTTGTCTTTTTGAGGTATGTTGCCCTGCATTAACGAACAAACATGAACCCCAGCAAGGATCCCCCTGCGTCATTCGAGGCATGATCCCCCATAATGTGAAGAAGATACCTCATGGGAGTTTGGATTACGGGGACCCTTGGGGATATAGACCCTATCAATAAGGTCCCTTTTAAGAGAGGCAGAAGTAGGGTTCAGAAGGGTCCCAATTAAGGGGTCTCCCTAATACTACCTATAGGACCTCAGACTCTGAAGGTCTGCTCCATTTAAGCTACAGCTCCCCATAGGTTCGACGAGGATCCGCGGTTCCATCTAAGGTACCCGCTCAACCACTAGGAGAACCGATGGGGGCTCGAGCCCATGGCTTGAGACATCTGACTTAAACCCGAGAAGGATCCACTTGATTTATTTGAGGTACGTCCCCCTAACTGAGGGCAGATACCTTGAACCCTATTGTGGATCCCAGTTAGGCTCCATTCCTTCATTCAGGGGTGTTGGAATCTAACCTAAACCTCCGCACGCAGGCCCCGCCTCTCCTATAGGGGATCACTTGCTTCAAGCGGTCCTTCATGTCTTTCTCCTCGGGCGATTTCGGGTTTGAGGTTTCGCGGTTTCAATAGCCTTGTAAGGATCCGGAAGTACTAGGTTCTTCTACCAGCGTTACAAGTATGCATAAGGCTGAGGGTTCAAGGATTTCGGATTCAGGGCCTTGAGGCTTGCGATGGTGATTTTTCAGTATCAGGGGGCTACCCCCGTAAACCCTAAACTCTAAACCCTAAACCCTTGAATTTGGGTTGAGGGCTTAGGGGTAAAATCTGGGCGCGCAAAGAACCGAGGCTGAAGAGACTTCTGGAGGGCTTAGGCCGGGTTTAGGGATTAGGGTTTAGGGGTTTAAGGTTTAGGGTTTTGGGTTTCGGGCTTCGGGTTTCGGGTGCAGGGTTTTGGGTTTAGGGTCTACGTGCCCTGAGCCCCACATCTCGTCAGGCACGAAATCCATCACTAC